TAAAGGACAGCGTCCAATAATTTGTCTCTGTTTCATTACATTCAGAAAACTCGTTTAGCATGTCTTCAAACGTTTTATTTTTGTAGTTCGCGCATAACAGAGCATATGGATACTGTTTTATAGCCTCTTTGTAAAATCTCCATTCACCAACCCAACGGTTATCACAACTGCATCGTATGCCATTTTTTCCGAAATGAAAAATGTTTGGTTCTAGATTTTTTATATTTCGCGGTAAGTCACTTAGTTGATGTTGCAGCAGGATAATATCAGTTGCAGTTTTTAGATTCGAAATATCATTACTAATTGTTTTAATGGGATTGTGACTTAAATCTAAAGTCCTTACTCGAGAAAAATAAGCATGTCTGGGATGTACATTTGAAATTTGGTTGAAACCCATATCTAATATAATGTCATGTTTTAGGATCACATCAGGAATAGACGAAAATGCATTAGTATGCACTGACGAATCATTTAAAACCGTCGGTACTGTAGCTGGAAAATCAGTACATGATTGATTGGAACAGTCTACGATGATAGCAAACTGATTTGGTTGTGCTGTACATTTGCATTTACAGTCCCCAATGGTTGGACATGAATCAGTTATGTCACACGTCATAAAATCACGTAGTGTTAAATTAAAATATAGATCTTCAATACGGATATTTGCCAGGATACTTGGACTTCGGCAGTAGCTTTCACTGTATTCCTTTGAATATACACGGCTAAATTCGTAGAATTGTAAATGAAAAAACTCTCCGACCTGACAATCACAGTCGTATGCTAAACCACTGTATTTACCCTTTCCACACATGGCATATTTATAGATTGTCCTCTGGTCTATCTTTTCAGAAATTGTAAATAATGGGTGTTGGTTAATAGACACATTTGAGAAATCAGAATCGCCGCATATAGAACCAGTGGTTTCCCCAAGAAATGACTGCCCTATATTTGTCATCTCAATAGGGGTTTTATTATTAGCATAACTACCACCACAGATGGTTTTATTCATAATAAGAACGTTTGAGACATCTAACTTTTTTAAGTAGTTACCTTCAAAATTAAATGTAAGAATATGGATACTTCCGAAAATATTGTAGTCCATTTTAGATATTAAGTTGTAGGAAAAATCCACTACTCTTAATTTTGTTAATCCAACAAATGTTTGGTTGGAAATGTATGTTACTTTATTGCTTTTCATAATCAACGTATCCAGTTCTGTGAGGCATGAGATATTTCCCACGGAACTGAATTTATTCCAAGACACGTCTAAATATACTATACTAAAACTACACAAATTTTCCGGGAACATTGATAGAATTCCATTTGTATGAATAAAATGTATACGATTATTTGTCGGAACAGTATTTTGTAAAAGTCGACTGGAACCTTGCACATTAGTGATTTCAACGGTAAGATACTGTGGAGAGTGATTTAGCATCTCCCATTCAGGCAAAGCATCACATGCACAACAGTGGTCGATCTCTATTGTCGATGGTTCGGAAAAACAGTTTGAGCTATCAGGACACCACAGGTCTTTTGTTCCATCAGGACTCCAGGGACTATATCTATTTGATCCATTTATGCGTGTTATATTTGAGGTTAAGCTTATAAACAGCAAAAGTATTTTGGTAGCCATTGAAAAATAATATACTGCATGTGTAAGTGTACAATTAATAATACCGATTCCAAAGTGGACATTTAAACGTTCATGGATTTACTTTTATAGTCTATAACAATATAACAATATACATATAATCATATAAGAAAATCTATTGGACGTATATTTTCCGATGAAATCATTAAATCCCTCTTGTGGAAATTTTATGCTATGTATTGTATTTGTTGAAAAGAATTGGAAAACCCAAATCGTTTACGTCACTTACATGGACACAATTGTTCATCAAATCTTGACTGTACAATTACAAATACTTTATATACCAACGTAGATGCCCCTTATTGTGTATAATGACATCTGCTATATGGTACATTTTTGTAAAAAAAAGAGTTAAATGTCAGGACCCTTACTCATTGTGGAAGGTTATACAGCGGCTTATAGTTGTTAACATCCTCGTCCGCTGGTCTTTGGTGGATAGTTGTTTCATGGGCAATTCAACCACATTTCCTTAGTCTTATAAAACATATATGTATATATATCAATATGATTATAAAGAAATGTGGTATGATTAATAATGAGACAAATTCAGTACCTCATTATTTATAGGTAGTTTATATTTGCAAAACGCCATTCCATCTACTGAAATTTATAAAGTATTGTCTTTTGTCAGCTGTCCACTGTCTAATAAAGGCAACAGTAGTATACCGCTGTTCAAAAGTCATAAATCGATTGAGAGAAAACGAATCCGGGTTACAAACTAAAACCGAGGGAAACACATCAACTATAAGAGGAAAACAACGAATTAACAGAACACAGAAGTGCAACAAAAACAAACAACAATGCAACATTCATAGAAACGAATTAGATAGAAATTAAATTTAATAAATTAAGATTCCATTAAAACTTTATTTTCCGCTGAATTAAATTAAATTTCTGTAACAGGTAGTCATCCTAAATTGTATGGTAATATTGTACTTAAAGCGCGGAAATCATTATGTGATCCGTGTAAACTCATCGAACCTTTAAACAAACTTATTAGTAAAGGTTATCGTACCAATGTTGTAATTAGATCTCTGAATATAGTTTACATTGGCACTACTATCGATTTTGTCATTAGCAAATTTTAAAAAACATAACTAAATTTGTATTTTCTTTTCAAACGGGATGTATAGAGACACACACACGTTCATTTTTATCTATAAAGAAGTCACTCCTAACTATCCTACTACCTGTCGACATTTATTTTTGGCATTGCACAAGTCATGTCTTCTTTGACTGTCCATGACGTTAAAATACTAAATCCCTGGGATGTATTTTAGTTGCCCAAACAAAAAAAAGTGAGGAACAAATCATGGTAACAAATGATAACCAAATCATATGATTTCTTTATGATTTGAAAGTGATAAAATTTCACATGCAAATGAGCTAACAAATCACAACAACAAATCACAAACAAATTGCTTCCAATTCATAAGCAAATCATAAACAAATTGTCAAGAAATTGTATTGAAATCATTAACAAATCAGAGGATATTGCTTTCCTACTTTAAGCAAATCACAAACAGATTTGTTTCAAATTGTAAAGAAATTATAAACAAATCGTTATCAAATCTTTAACAAATCAGAAATAAATCATATTCCTACCTCAAGCAAATCGCAAACAAATTGTTTTCAAATTATGAAGAAATTATAAACAAATCGTTATCAAATCTTTAACAAATCAGAAGTAAATCATATTCCAACATTAAGCAAATCACAAGCAAATCGTCAATTAATTGACATCATCATCGATTCACAGATTAAATCATTTACATCTGGATCAAAAATCTGTTCTGCCCCTGAGATCCCCAAACTTGGAAGTGCCCTTGTCTTTATTTTACCTTAGCTACTCCTCTGATTGTTAAGGGATTATTATTTCGGGTTTTCATGAGGAAGCAATTGTTCCCTCTGTGAAAAGTTTCTCTCACTTCTCCAGAATTTGAATCTAACAAGATTTGACAACATGGGCAACCACGTTTACTAGAAGGATGTCGAATACTAGTAGGCGATGGGTCTTAGTCTGGGTCCAAATCTGCTACAGCTCTATACCTGACCAGTCAACATCATGAAAAATTTAAACATAAAACTTGCCAGTGCATATTGTCTGCTGACTGCTGACTCGGGAAGCTACATTTTAATTGCTCGTCTCGTTCTGTTTACATGTCTTTTACACATTTAAAAAAAAAAATTTATCCAGACAGTACATGCATATAAACGAGATATTGAAATGTACAGTTTCCGAATATAAAAGTTTAACACCTTTGACATATGTTTGAATAGTTGACTTACAATTGAATTCCTGAAACAATAAGTTAATGACTAAGATACTTACCACTGTCATCATTGATAGTATATCTTACTCTTCATCTTGCAACCTTCTTTGTTCAGTTAATGTAGAACAGTATTTGAAATTTGAATTTGACCTCAACCGGAAGTCAGAGATAAAGACAAACCCAGAAAATCTGAATGCAATAACATTGTTTTCATTGTAGCAAATCATCAATGAATCACACCATGATAGCTAACAAAGTTAACAAATCATTTTCAAATCATTTCCTATGATATTCCAAGTAAACAAATCATAACGAAATCACACAATTTTAGCGGATTAAGTTAACAAATCTTTTTGAAATCATTTCATACGATATTCTAAGTAAACAAATCATAAAGAAATCACACAAAAACAGAAACAAATTGCTAACAAATCATACATTTGAAAGAAATCACAAAGAATTCAGTTTTGGGAATTTGGCGAATTCTGATTTGTTTATAATTTCTTTAATGAATCGCAAGCAAATGGTACTAACAAATTGCAGAATTACGATTTGAAAGAGATTTGAATACGATTTGAAAGCAATTTGTTCATTTATTTTTCTGTTTGGGTGATTTTAGTCTCTGATGCATGATTTTTAATTATTAATTGTTTTGGTTTTTAACTAGCTGTCAGTAACTGCGAGTACTCTCAAATCGTACTTTCTTTTTAATTTGACCTGTTGATACTATTTGAAATGCTTTTTTGTTATTTAATGTTAACATGGATCTTGTCTATATACCAGCTTTGATTATTTGGTATAACTACAAATTTTCACTTCTTCGTACTATGAACATCAAAATTATTTCATTTTTCCTTAGATGCTGTTCTTTGACCTGTACAGGAAGTTTTATCTAGCACTAATTGTATAGTTTTATTGTTGATATTCATCCCATATGTACCAAGTGTTAGATTAGTTTCATTGATATTAAAGAAATTTCTTGGTATTCCTAAAGGAAAGATTTTATACACACAGAAGAAGAAGTATACTTAAGAGCCAATCCGCCAGAAAACCATGCAATATTCAGAATGGCTCATAAAATCATTCGAACAAGTAAAATCAATTTGTCTGAAAAATGAAATAAGACGTATTTGTACTGCAAGTCCAAAAATCAATAAATTGTCTGAAACCAGGGAGTTCATCTTTTATGCTCTTCCATTGACTTATCTCCCTTGGGTAAGATCTCAAACATGTCAGCTCCAAGTGATGGTTTGGCAGACAAATGTTTACAGTGAAGTTTGTGACTTTAATAATCTAGGATGAGCATGTGGGCTATCCCAGCCTTATACATCTACATATTACAAACTATTTAAGATATCTGAATGCACTAAAGACCAAAATAGCAATTCCCAAAAAAATAATTACTGCCAAGAAATTTGACAATCATGACAATAATTTAGTGAATAAACATGATAAATATTGATTGGAAAAATAAGTCCATGAACAGCAAAAAGTGTTTTTAGATTTCAACGAGCAAAACAAAAGTATTCTAAATCATTCTTCGTAAAAAAAAAAGTGAGCCAGTGGAACCAACTTGCTCGCACCAAAATTGAGATTGAGAGTGTCTGGCGCACCATCAATAAATCAACGACACTCTCTCTACCGTGGTATTGAAACCAGCATTGGTAACCAAACATATTCATACAGATACAGACTACCATTCATCTACATTTAGGAAGTCTGAATAATACTGAAAACTATGGTGTAGAATTTCCAACAGGACTCCTTATTTTATATAAGACAAGGAGTGGTTTATTTTCCCATGGTTGTTACATCATCTTGTCTTTGAATATGCTCGAAGTACAGGGACTTTTATGGAATTCATTGACATGATAGTCAAGCAAGATGTCAACATCTCGTCCAACCCTCTTCCAGCAAAGCCAAAGCTGACCAAGGATCTTCACCCTTTCAAAACAGGCTGTATACAGGACGAGTTATTCCAGTAGGAACAGGTACAAATCTTACAATCAATTTTCATTTGTTCCATATAGTCAATCTGAAATTAGGGGACCAACAATTGATACATTAGCTAGATTAAAAAAAGGGGGGGTGGGTGTTGAAGGGGCATGTGAATATTCTTTTACACCTGACCTGTTTCTAAGACATCTTATTTATTTCCTATGGCAAAGTGCAAGCAAATAATATATATCCGTATATACATTGTTCTGTCTTGGGACCATTTGATTAAAAAAGCAAGGGGGAGGGTTAGAATGGTCAAAATATTTATGTCCTTGTCAGCTTAGGACAGAATTTTAATTTTCAAGCTATTAACCAGGGTACATTATATATTTATTTTCTGCTTTAAAAAATCAATTTATAGACCAGAATCATGATAGTAATTAAAATCTATTTCAACATATTCAACATTTAGCAAGTCAGGTTTTTATTCTCTTCCCCTAAGTTATATTTTCAGTTCTTACTGGAAGTTGTTCAGCTCTTTGTCTACTAAAAAAACTTTTATCTCGTGGAAAAGCCTCCTACAAATACATGTTTTACATACAACAAACTGTACATGTAACACTAGACAACTTTTTCCAGAGAATAATATTTTTTTAATGAACTAATAGGCCATGGAGACTAAAAAAATCAAAAGCATTGCAAACTTTTGTAAGGTTCAATTTTAGGACCCTACATGTACATGTATGTAGATTACTTATAGAGCCCTTTTTAAAAGAAAAAAAACATATATTTAAACTACATGCACAGTGATCATGGTGATGCTACACTACCCTACATTTCCTGTCTGATATATTTTATTTCATGTAAAACAAAATTGAAGAATTATTTTATAGTTTAACACTTTTTATTTGTAGGGCTATATATATATGCAAGCAATGCTCAATTAAGATGAATTATTGTAAAAGTGACATTAGCCAGCTGGTCAAACTAAATACATGTATAGAAGAAGATATTGGTAAGTTATTATTAACTTATATATTAATTTAACTGTTTGTATAACATGGTAATCATACAAAGTATATGTAATCACTTATATAATAACATAATTATACAATTACATGTTATACATTTGTACATCAGTTTTATTAAACAGGTCTTTGTTAACTTGGTTTTCCCATTGAAAAATCACTTTGCTAATTTTAATTTGTAGTACTATATTGGGCGGCTCCTATAGTTTCCATTTAATAACTAACAATGACTAATGAACTGTTCATACATTCCATTTCAATTATTTTATTTATTAATACGTATTACTTTTACTGTTAAGTCTGTTTTATTGTGATATCCATTTTACGTGACTCTGTATTTATGTATCACGTCATACTTTGAACGACAAAATTATTTTATGTCTACCTGTACAATTTCAAACGCGCGATTTTACGCCAGTACTTAAAACCTTCCATCCTTTATGGGTGGATTTTACATAGATATATAAAATTGAATAATATAAGCAAAATGAGGATGTTAAATTTGATGTATGCCTTTTTGTGCTTCTTCATTACATTTGTTTGTTTTTATAGTGATTAAGATGATAACACAATGTTGACTGCTGTACCCCTATTTTTGACAATTTTACCTATTGTGTCTGTTTGTTTTGTTCATGCATCGTTGTCAATATAATGGAATTTGATGCGACTGTCATACAAGTGAGAAGTTTATTATCTAGCTATAAAACCAGGTTCAATCCACCATTTTCTTCATAAGAAAATGCCTGTACCAAGTCAGGAATATGACAGTTGTTATCCATTCGTTTGATGTGTTTGAACTTTTGATTTTGCCATTTGATTGGGGACTTTCCTTTTTGAATTTTCCTCGGAGTTCAGTATTTTTGTGATTTTACTTTTTCAAATATAAAAGGGGGAGATTTTTATTGGTACTTTTGAAGATATTTCACCTGTTCGATTAATTGATTGGTTGTTGGTAATGCTAATGTCCAATGGCAAATAGTTCATGCATGTTTAGGACAAGAACAAATTAAAATAAATACATTATTTGGGTTCTTAATATGCTAAATCTAACAATGTATTTAAATAATTTAAGATGTTGCAATTGGGCCCCATTTTAAATTGGTTCACATTGATTTCAAAATGGTCCAAAATTTTTTTTCTTATTTCTACACAACTTGAATTCATGAGGTTCTTTTGATATACAAAATGCAAATGTTTTATATTTAGATTTTTGTCGAGCCTGCGACTTTTGTCGCAGAAAGCTCGACATAGGGATAGTGATCCGGCGGCGGCGGCGGCGTTAGCTAACTTCTTAAAAGCTTTATATTTTAGAAGGTAGAAGACCTGGATGCTTCATACTTTGTATATGGATGACTCATGTTACGAAGTTTCCATCAGTCACATGTCCAATGTCCTTGACCTCATTTTTATGGTTCAGTGACTACTCGAAAAAAAAGTTAAGATTTTTAGTAATGTTAAATTCTCTCTTATTATAAGTAACAGGATAACTATATTTAATATGTGCGTACCTTGCAAGGTTCTCATGCCCGTCAGACAGTTTTCACTTGACCTCGACCTCATTTCATGGATCAGTGAACAAGGTTAAGTTTTGGTGGTCAAGTCCATATCTCAGATACTATAAGCAATAGGTCTAGTATATTCGGTGTATGGAAGGACTGTAAGGTGTACATGTCCAACTGGCAGGTGTCATCTGACCTTGACCTCATTTTCATGGTTCAGTGGTTATAGTTAAGTTTTTGTGTTTTGGTCTGTTTTTCTTATACTGTATGCAATAGGTATACTATATTTGGTGTATGGAAATATTTTATGATCTATATGTCAGTCACGCAGGTTTTATTTGACCTTGACCTCATTTTCAAGGTTCATTGCTCAGTGTTAAGTTTTTGTGTTTTGGTCTGTTTTTCTTAAACTATAAGCAATAGGTCAACTATATTTGTTGTATGGAAGAATTGTTAGCTGTACATGCCTACCTAGCATGGTTCATCTGACCTTGACCTCATTTTCATGGTTCAATGGTCAATGTTTAGTTTACTTGGTTAATGTTAAGTTTATGTGACAGTTGTAATAAAGCTTTATATTTAGGACTATCAACATAATATCAATGATTAGTAAAGAAGGCGAGACATTTCAGCGTGTGCACTCTTGTTAATTTTGGTCCGGTTTTCAAATTTGTCCACATTTTAAAGTCCATAGGGTCCAAATTTTAACTTAGTTTAATTTTAACAAAACTTGAACTCTAATTTCAATGAATTAGGGTTCTTTGAATGATAAATAGAAATAATCAAATATCCTGAATATAAATATGTACTTAGATTTATGATTTTGGTCCCAGTTTTCAAGTTGGTTCAAATGGGGTCCATAATTTAACTGTGTTTGATTTCAACAATAATTTTAAAGATGCTGATTCAGCATGAATATAACCTGTATTTAGTTTTTGGGCCCTATTATGAAATTGGTTTACATTGAGGTCCAAAGGGTCCAAAATTAAACTAAATTTTAAATCTTAATTTGATCTTGGGGTTCTCTGATATGCTGAATCTATTAAACTTTATCTTTATACCATATTTATTCTGTGTTAGAAACCTATTCTTTGTCAAATATTTAATCCCATTACAAATTTAGAGCTGTTATAGCTTGAATGTTCTGTCCAAACTTGCATTTTTTCTTCATCTTCCACAAAATTTGTCCTTTTCTGAGATAACCATGATAACTGGTGTTATCTTTTTAAATGAAACTTTAGTGAAAAGAAAAGCACAATATGTGGATATTATCTGATGTCAAACATTTTCAAGATGGCCACCAAGGATGGCACAAATTTCAACACTGGTTAATTTAATGAAAATTGTTAATTAGGGATAGTCGTGGTAGTTTGACTTTCTAAACAAAGTAAGGTTGTTTTTTCTTCCAAAATGGCAAACATTTTCAAGATGGCCTTATATGAAAATTGACATTAAGGAATTTTAGCACTTTTGACATGCCAACAAAACAAGGAAATTTTTTTTTAAAGATGGACACAGCAAATAAAGGGTAAAATTTTCAATTTTGTTGAGTTTGATTTTAAAGAATATTGATATTTAGCTGTACTTTGACACAGAGAACAGATATAAAGATGGCCACCATTTCAAAGATTGTCACTAAAAGCGGTCAAATTATCACCATTGTCTGTTTTCAATGTAAAGTTATTGAGAGGTAATTTGACATGCCAAACCAAATGGAGGCAATTTATATTGTTGTAAAGATGTTAAGGGCTATTTGGACATGCTTAAAAGGAGTGGATAATAACTATTCTGCAAAAATGATTTGGCTTTAGTTGGGAGAATTTTGTAACTGCATCCACTTACAGTAAAAGTTGTCAATTTTATTTCCTGTCAGTGGTATATATGAAATTAAAAAAAAATGTGGTATGATTGCCAATGAGAACAAATGACATAGAAGTAAAGCTATAGGTCTTCATACGCCATATGGCCTTCAACAATGAGCAAGACCTATACTGCATATATATTCAGCCATAAAAGGCCCCAAAATAAGAAAATGAAAAAATATGAAAACTAACAGCCAGATTTATATATGTATGTTTTCTGGTTTTCAGATCTAGACTCGCAGCTAACCTTTCTGTCAGTGTCAACAACAACTGAACTTTCACAGCAGTCAACATCAGATTGAGAGACTGATAATGCTTCTAACAGAAAAAATTTCAACCAACCAAACAAGCAACAGAAACTTTCCAACTTTAAAACATCAGTTAAATCTTCCATGGGATGATGTCTCAAAAAATAACAGTTCATCATTTATGGAGATTTTAATGTTATGGTTTTTCTTTTACAAGAAAGTTAATGTACACTTGTTTTATAGTAAAACCTATAGCCGTTCAAGTATAAAAAAGCACATTCAACTTTATTGAAATTTGAAGATTCATATGACTTATTTTAATTCTGTTATCTCCGAGGATGTGATGTAGAGCATTATAGGTACAGTAATCTTAACAACTATCCAATTTCATTCAAAATTCTTTATACATTTTGCACTGGTATATATAGACTAAGTAATTTGTTTTTCGTCTAGTTATGGGATTTTTAATACCCCACGCAACGAGTTGCGGAGGGTATAATGTTTTTGACCCGTCCGTCTGTCTGTCTGTCAGTCCGTCAGTCCTGTTTCTTGTCATCGCAACTCCTCTCAAACCACACAACAGAATTTCACGAAACCTTTTTAGATAATAAGTACATACTATGTAGTTGTGCATATAGACAGGAAATTACGATTCAATTCTTTTTCTAGGAGTTACGCCCCTTTGAATTTATTTACTTTAATGTACAACTGCAACAGTTTGTCATCGCAACTCCTCTCAAACCACACAACAGAATTTCATGAAACCTTTTCAGATAATAAGGACATACTACGTAGATGTGCATATCGACAGGAAATTACGATTCAATTTTTTTTCCAGGAGTTACGCCCCTTTGAACTTATTTGCCAAATATACTACTGCAACCTTTTGTCATCGCAACTCCTCTCAAACCACACAACAGAATTTCATGAAACCTTTTCAGATAATAAGGACATACTACGTAGATGTGCATATCGACAGGAAATTACGATTCAATTTTTTTTCCAGGAATTACGCCCCTTTGAACTTATTTGCCCAATATACTACTGCAACCTTTTGTCATCGCAACTCCTCTCAAACCACACAACAGAATTTCATGAAACTGTGTAGATAATAAGGACATACTACGTCGATGTGCATATTGACAGGAAATTATGATTCAATTTATTTTTTCTGATACAATTTTTTTTTCTTACACTTATTATATTTCTCCAATGACAATGTGGGGACGTGGGGTATGTGAGCGCGCTCACTAAGGTTCTTTCATTTTAGAAGCATTTATGATTTTCATGTTTGTATTGACCACATTGCAGCAACATAGATATAGGTACCTGGCAAATCTTGCCTTGTTAGCATACTAGGCTCAAAGGGTCATAACAAAATGTCCATCACTATTGACTAAGTGTCTGTTAAAATCATCTGTTTACAGTTTTCACTTTTAATCTTAATAACTTTAGAAGATGTCATACATATATATATGTATACAAAATTTAAAAACTTTTAAATATATATATATATATATATATATATATATATTGATAAAAACTATCAACATGACAAGATCTAAATACCCAAAATTTTTCTGAAAAATTGGACATAACATCTATGAGCTATTGTCCCTGAAATGTGTTAATTTACAAATTTTCACAGTTTTCTGCTACTATCCGACAACTATATCAATAAATTATAAGAATAAATTGCAAAAGTGGTCAGAAGAAACTTTTTTTTTACAGTCTGAACTTATTCTGAATTGTTTAACTTCTAATTTAAATTGATTGCGTTTGAAATATGTGTTTTTTATCGTTTTAGGTGCACAATTTGTCAATACGATCTATTTCGGCTCCTGGGAGCCTCTAGATTTATAATAAATAATTTGTATTTATGTATGATTATTTTCTTAATGTATTAAATGAAACATTAATTATTCTTTTCCATTTGTTGTTATACTTATTTATTAGTCCAGATCCTATCATATGTCAGTAGTTACAAATAAGACGGCAAAATTGGGAAAATTTGAATATGCAGGTTACCCCATTTGTTTGTGGCATATACCAGACACCAACATTATTTGCCGAGCTTGATATTTTTTTTGATTGGGTATATATAGTTATACTTTGCAAGTAGATATGTTGTTTTACAATAATAAACGGGTCTTGGAGTATTTTGGCTCTGAAAGATGACCAAAATCAGCCATTTTGGACATGTAGCTAAATAAGACATATTGAAACAGTTAGATTATACATACACTTAACAGACAGCATTGTTAATTCTATGCATTCTTACACTTAAAGTGATGTATTACTAGGAACAACTATCAAAAAATTATAAATGTTACCATATTTTTTTATTTAAACCAGCGAAATATGCCAAAAAAGGCTTATTTTTGCTGTTTTCGAGCAATTTCATCTGTTAAAACATGGCGCTCAAAACATATACAGATCGGTTTAATATTTTCCCCAAAAAATTTGTGTGGTTATTTACACTACTAAGGTGCACCAATATGCCAAATATGAACTCATTTGGAAAAAGTGACATTCAGACGGTTTTGCATGGTTTTCTGGCAGATTGGCTCTTAACAACAAAATTATTTTCATTTACCTGTGTATAATATGACGCAGGTTTCTTCAAAAGTGATGATTTTCTAAAATTGTTTGACATTTCACATTGATATCATACTTTAACTTTGTTTAAACCTGCTTATTTACTTTTGACTTTAATTATTTATACCTTGTAATTTTTTATTAATTGTGTATTTGCATTCAGGTGTCACAGGTCAATTTTATTCGTTCATTGTGTGTTAATTTACGTTTTTTGATTGAGTTAAGCCTTACAATTGATATTTTGTAGTGTGTTTTTCTATGTTGTGATGTTATACTATTGTTTCAGAAAAGGGAGAAGGTTTAGTACCATTAAAACGTTTAATCCCGCTGCAAATGTTTGCACCTTCCTAAGTCAGGAATCTGATTACAGTAGTTGTCGTCTGTTTATGTAGTTCATACGTGTTTCTCGTTTCTCGTTTTTATATAGATTAGACCGTTGGTTTTCCCGTTTGAATGGATTTACACTAGTAATTTTTTGGGACCCTTTATAGCTTCCTGTTCGGTGTGAGCCAATGCTCCGTGTTGAAGGCCGTACCTTGACCTATAATGGTTTACTTTTATAAATTGTAACTTGGATGGAGAGTTGTCTCATTGGCACTCATACCACATCTTTCTATATCTAAGTATCAATATAAGCGCGTTAAATTAAAACTATCCATTTCGTGTCATTCCTTTGGTCACCTACACATTTTAACTGTATTAACTCAATTGAATGGTTTGAAATGTTTAGCATTTTTAAAATATTAGATAATGAAAATTACCGATAAAATAAACCTCGCTTAAAGAAATGTGTTGATATGGGAATATTTTGGGACGTCGAAATTTGCACAGTTGTACTTTAATTACGTACGGCAAAAATGCTACACACCTTTACACACCTGAAAGGAAGGAATTATAAATGGGTATATTATAAATCGCTAATATCAATAAAACTTTGCATTATTTCTTCATTGTATCTATTCTATCTTTTTTTTCTATCTAATCTCTTTTTATGCCAACATTGCCAATTGCTGCACAATATGGTTCGTGTATTGATAAGGTGATGTAAGCTTTTTCCTAATCTTTAAATATCTTTTTTAAGACAAGATGAGGACAGATCAGACTTTAATTTAATTTAGCTTAACTGTTATTACACCTTTACGAAAAGAATCAGTTTGGCTTTTTCAAGTTTATTTTGTCAGTGAATAAAATGTGTGATTTGGTAATATCCTTTTGGCTTGGCTCAGTATTTATACATCCCGCCATTGTGTTATTGTGCTATGGTCATTTTTGTATCCTTGTCTTTCAATTTTGCTTATGTGCTTTGTCTTTAGAGTGTCTATATATGCCATTTTGTTTTTCTTTGTTGACATACTAGTAGTTGTTTATTTTTATAGGGATTAGGATTATAACACAATGTTGACTGCTGTGCCCCAATTTTTGACATTTTTACCTATTATGTCTGTTTGTTTTGCTCACACATTGTTGTCAATATAATGGAATTCTATGCAATTGTCATACAAGTGAGAGGTTTAACTAGCTATAAAACCAGGTTTAATCCAACATTTTCCACATAAGGAAATGCCTGTACCAAGTCAGGAATATGACTTTTGTTTTCCATTCGTTTGATGTGTTTAAGCTTTTTTCCCATTTGATACGGGACTTTCCGTTTTGAAAATTCCTTGGAGTACAATATTTTTGTTATTTTACTTTTTACACTAGAATTAAAAGCAGGTTCAAATTGTTTTGATTTAACAACAGTTATGTCGCCTCATTGCCGAAACCAAACGAAAGAAATCACACTTGCTGTTTCTAACATAACAACAAGTAACTCTGAAAAAGTCCGTTTTGAAAATCTTAATATTCTCTTCAAGAATATCAAAAGTAATAGGTAGCCTTATTCACTTGATGTTCGATTTGTGAGATCGTTTTACAGAATTAAAAATCAATTTAAGCCTAGGACATGGTTTGTCATGAAAACATTTTTAAAGGATTGTTACAATCTGCCTTCAAATAATTATATCGTATGGCACCAAAAACAAATTTTAATGGTGGAATAATGTAGTTTCGGAACTTTTTGACAATGAGATATGAAATGAATGAGAATTTCTTCCGATACAGGGACCAAGTTATTTGCAAAAGAGAGGCGAAGGATACCAAAGGGACATTCAAACTCATAAGTCGAAAATAAGCTGACAACGCCATTGCTAAAAAGAAAAAGACAAACAGACAACAGTACACAAAACACAACATAGAAAACCAAAGACTGAGTAACACGAACCCCACCAAAAACTGGGGGTGATCTCAGTTAATCCGGTAGGGTAAACAGATCCTGCTCCACATGTGGCACCCGTCGTGTTGCTCATGTAAGTAAAAATCCGGTGATAAGTCTAATTCGGTAGGTCGCATTCGGGGAAAAGGGGACGGGATTGTAGTTACGACAGTTGGAACATATCCGTTGTCATCTGTGAAACGGATATTCAATAACGGTCAACCAACTCGTGATGGCGTCCGTAAAATTTACGGAGGGACGATTTTAACTTCATCACTTGGAACTCTTGGTTCAATAGCTTCCTTGTGAGCAGCAACCCATAATCAAGGAAATCATATTAGGAAATACAATACAAACCCTGGAATATCGTATCAACTGTGATATATATACTCCGAATGCAGGTGCTGTTCGAATGTTACATATAAATGGGAAGTTCACAATTGGGAAGCTGAAATTATCTCTTTTGTCGTAAAGTTTTGTTTTCAACCGACCATCATTGTCAATTTCCAGATGTAAGTCAAAATATGAGGCCGACTTGACGGTATCTTTTGTATTCTTTTTTTCGATGGGATAGATGCGTTCAACATAGTCACCAAAGTTATTTAGTGAGAGAACATCATCTATATAGCGGAAAGTGAGATTAAAGGATACTGGTTACTTCTTTTTTTTTTCTCCCTAAGAAGTTCCTGCAGTATGAAAGTCAGCCTCATATGAATAAAGGAACAAGTCGGCAAGAAATAGAGCACAGTTGGTTCCCATGGGAATGCCGATTGTTTGTTAAAAGAACACGTTCTCCAAACGTGACAAATATGTTGTCAATAAAAAAAATCAGACATCTTGATAATAGAAATAAGAAGATGTGGTATGAGTGCCAATGAGACAACACTCCATCCAAGTCATAATGTGTAAAAAGTTAACAATTATAGGTCAAAGTACGGCCTTCAACACGGAGCCTTGGCTCACACCGAACAGCAAGCTATAAAGGGCCCCAAAATTACTAGTGTAAAACAATTCAAACAGGAAAATCAACGGTATAATCTATATAAAAAACGAGAAACGAGAAACACTTATGAACCACATGTCATTTTCAGAGAATTTTTTGTTTGAATCAGAGTGATTTTTTACAAATTACGATTTTCCCTTCCTATGACAAGAATCTTGTATCTACGTAGGTCATTCTTTTTTTTGAAACAAAGCAAGACCAACTCTTTTAATTTGTTTTTACTTTGGAATGGGGAATACTTGTGTAAAGTGTAGAAAAGTCTAATGTTTTAATACTATTGCAAGAGAGAAGAGTCTTAGATTGCATGTAGTCTAAAAGTCTTTGGAATTTTTTAGTATCCACATCTGATTCACCCTTAACTCTAGAATAGGTAGTTTCACAATAACTTTGAAGCCTGGCTTTGATTGCTGATAAAATTGATGTTAATAATTTAGAAAGCTGTTTCGTGGAGCACTTGGAAGACCCAGCAATATAACGCAATGCAAGTAACATCATACGACAGTTAAAATCTCTTAAATTACACGAAATCAATATCATACACGTCCTAAATTAGTCTTTTTGGATATTTACGTTGTCCATAATTGTTGTACAGTTTGTGGTAAAGAAGTTTCCTCCTACGAATATCGGTTTTACTTACATTTTTTACAAGTTATGAGGTAGATATGATTTTATTTTTTTCTCCGACATTGTCAGTGGACTGAACTTAGAAAACTGAATCAGATTTGAACTTCGCTTTTCTATTGTTGCCTCTTATCGAACAGTATTTATGACAACATTTTTTCAATTCTCCATGTGTTTACTTTTGCACATGTCAGTCTAAATTTATTGGTGTTTCTTGATTGCATTCTAGTTATATTTTTACGCCACGTTTTTTTTTGGTAAGAAGCTTAAAGAATGTTGTTTTTACAATTCTTTTTAAGCGTTCAACATTATTTTAAAGTTTTCTGTCTCGACAAAACAAAATTTCTCGATTAGTTTTTTTTCATCATAATCGTTAGCATAGTGTTCTCCTTTTTAGGCCAATCTAAAAAGCCAAATTGACTAGGAAGTTGATGGGCATTGAAAACTAAAATTTCCGAAACGATATGATATCTTGCTAAGTTTATATACCTAGCTTTCAAACGGAAAGTAAAACTGTTGACAGAATCAATACTCCTACAGCTTTAACAGCAAGATATCCTGACCATATTAATATATATTAGAATAACATTTCATATAAATAAGAATAAGATTTCATAATTTCATTTTAGAGCTGTATACAATTTACTGATCTGGAAATTATCCTATACTTGCCCTACTAACTTGAATATGAAGTAACTCTTTCTTTATATTAAGTTTTACACTTTCACATATTTTGGCCTCAAGCATCACTGACGAGACATTAATTGTCAAAATGTACATCTGGCGCAGCGGGGTTGGTATAGTTGATGTTATCAGTATTTTATTTGGATAAAATAAGAGAATGTTATCAAGGATTATTCCTTACTTCTTAAAAAGTTAAAAGTATTTAGAGATCTCAGATATGACTTTTTACTTTTGTTGCAGATTTTATCAACAAAATGTGCAATAAGATTAAATATGGATTACTTCTAATGTTTTAATCAGCTAACACGTCTAACGGCTTGGATATGATACATAATAGAAAAACAATATGTGTTTTACAAATTTGAACAAAAGATATGCTTCGATATTCTGCTTTTTTGGCTCCGAGTGTCTCTAATTAAAATGTTAAAAAACAATATAATCATGACGTGTGATTTGAAGCCTGTTAGAATTTCTAATAATAGTATACGTATATCCAGGATTATGTAAATCCTTAAGTCATGATCTGTCACTTTTAACTAACCTGTTCATTTGATCGAGACATTGCAACAGGTTATTATACGTTCGTGTACGTGAGCCTACATATTCGTTCATCTTCAATTCTGTAAAATATTTCTGTAGATTATCAAGATAGTAATGATAACGACATTGATGATTCTATTATTTGCATGCCTTAAGTTTAATATTCTTTTTTTCTTTTTTTTTTAGATTTTATTCATTTTATTTTTTTTTTTTTTTATTCAACAACAACTAATTGCACTTTCTGCTGTTAACAATGTACTTCACTAGTCCAGCATTCCAGTAAAGAGTCCTGTTTGTTAATACCAGAAATCCAGGGTTGTTTCTGGTAAGCATCATTATATTAAATTAACATTAGTTTTAATTTAACAGCTAATTTATAAAATTATCAGCAATGAAATTAACAAGTATATATCAATGGTACTTATTTGTTTTACAATTTACTATATATATCATCTAGCAATAATTTATTTTTGGGTATTGTTTCCGGAAATTTTTCATATTTCCTCCGTAAACGGGTTAATTGTTTTTCTATCAAACATCTTCCTGGTTTTGAAACAAATATTGTCACACCGGCCATGACTTAAAAAATAAAAAAATAAACAGATGTGATATAGCATATTCACATGTATGTCTGAATTAAAAATTTTCTGTAGTATAAAGAAGATTAAGATTAAATAAATATTTCATTTTTTAATCTTCTTTTTGTAACGGTAAATAGTCTCGTTATCAATCATTTGTTTGTCAATCATCACATGTACATGTACAGTAGCGGTGAAAGGTAAAATTTATATTACTTGATCAGTTCCAGATGTGTAATTCGTAAAATTTTTCTCTTTTATTAATTTATTCATCCATTTATTTTTGCTAGATCATATACTTCTCAAACAAAGAAATTATTTTAACAATTGGGCAGTTTTATCTAGAATACATTTATATTTTGTATTCTTACATTTTGCCTGCAGTTTGTAACTATACATAAATTCTGCTTTAAATACAGCATACACATTTATAGATTCTGTTTTCTGTTCAGACATGTAATCGGCTTTATATATACAAAACATTATTAATGTAATCAAATAATTGATTTCATAATATTGTTCATCATTAATTTTATAACCGAATACTAAATTCTTCAATGTTAGAATATTATTATCAATATTCAGTTTTCAAGAAGATTTTTTATTTTACTTAAGAAGTCATCAAGAAAGTGACATTTCAGAAACATATGATCATAATCCTCAGTGGTATTGCAATAATGACAATTTGAAGTATTGCAGATATTCCACTGTTTTAATAAAGTTTTACAAGGTAGAATAAAGTGTAACAGTTTCCAACGAAACACTTTATACTTATTTTCTTTCAAATAATGATGAACAAATTTTAATATATTACATGTTGAACTATGAATATACTCAATTTTTAACACTGTTTTCCATCGGTTAAAACCAACAGGCATTTCAATCTCATTCTGAATAAATATATTATAAATTTTTTTAGTGTCTAAATTTTCTAATTTTTCTATATAATTACAATTATTCTTAATGTATAAAACATAATTTGTTTTTACTTTAGTTTTCTTTGAATTTTCTTGTTGTAAAAAATTAAGCCATTCTTTTGGAAAGGCTTTCTTCAATTGAGAAAATTCTGACATCCAATTATATTTAATCCTGAGCTTTTGCAAAATATGTTTCTCCAATATGTTACCATTTTCATCTATAATGTCGTTTACATAGATGATATTGCTATTTATCCAGTTTTGAAATAAAAGACTTTTTTTTTTATCTTAATGAATTGATTTCCCCAAATTACTTGTTGACGAATAGATTTAAAGTTTTTAGGCTGCTCTATTTTTTTGTTTTTTACCCATGCTTTTACTACATTCAAATAAAATTCTGGCAACTTATTTAAACCTGGAATTGAGTTAATACCATCAATGTTCATATGAAAGATAAGGAAGTTCTTGCCAAATTTATTAAAATAAAATAATGGTATAACTTTCCAGTTGGCTAAATCTCCATATATTAATCTTTTAATCCATCCAATTTTGATGGATTCTATGTATTTATCTATGTTAATCATTTTTAGACCACCATCTAGCAATTCATAGCTTAATACTTTACGTTTAACTTTTTCTATTTTGCTTTTCCATAAAAATTGATAAATAATTTTTTTAAATTTATCAATATATTCTTTTTCTATGTGTGAAACAGATGCTAAAAAAGTAATATTGGGTAGAATCAGTGATTTGATAACTGTTATTTTTCCCAATAATGTTAGATTTCTTTTCTCCCAGTTTTTAATTGTTTTCTCAGATTTTTCTAATTGTTTTTCAGCATTGAGTTTTTGACACACATTTTTATTACAACCAAAAAAAACTCCTAAACATTTCACTGGTTTGTCTGTAAAGTTGATGTTTTCATATTTTTCTTTACAGTGTTTATGTTTTCCCAACCAAATGCCTTCTGTTTTTGATCTGTTTAATTTAAGCCCTGATAATGTGCCAAAGATTTCAATCATATTTAAAACTTTTGAAATGTCTTTTTGTGTTTTTAGAAAAAGTGTCGTGTCATCTGCAAGTTGGCTGATTTTAAATGAATGTGTTTTCCCATCTATCTTAATTTCAAAGCCTTTAATATTATGGTCTTGCCTTATCTTACAGGCTAATATCTCTACTGCTATAACAAAAATTATCGCACTGCACGGACATCCTTGTCGGATTCCACGTTGAATGTTAATGGGTTCAGATATCCATCCATTATTTATTACTGCGCTTTTAATATCTGTGTATAAAGTCTTAATCCATTTAAGCATAGAATTTTGAAATCCAAATTTTTTTAAAGCTGAAATCATAAAATCCCATTCTAAAGAGTCAAATGCTTTTGAGAAATCTAAAAATAGTAGTGCCCCCTCTATATTAAATCTTTCTGCATAATCAATTATATCCTAGATTTGTCTAATATTATAACCTATATATCTATTTTTAACATAGCCATTTTGATCTTTATGAATAATTTTTGGTAGGATATTTTTAATGCGCTGAGCCAATGAATATGCAATTAATTTTGTATCAATATTTAATAAAGTTATGGGTCTATAATTATTTAAACAAAGCGGATCATTCTTTTTATGTATAAGAGAAATAACTCCTAATTTTTGAGAACTCGTTAACTCCCCTTTTTTATATGAGTAATTAAATGTAGATACAGCAAATTCTTTTAATTCATCCCAAAAGGTTCTATAGAACTCAACACTTAGTCCATCAATTCCTGGTGATTTGTTCAATTTCATCTTGAATAATGAATTCGTGCATTCTTCAATGGTTAAAGTACCTTCCATTATCTCACTTTCTTGTGTATTTAATTTATGATCAATATTTGTATCATTAATATAATTATCTATGGATTTCACATCTGGATTTGTACTATTATAAATATTTTGATAGAATTCTTTTTCTATTTGTAAAATTTTAGAAGATTCTGTCTGTACAACTCCTTTGTCTCTTTCAAGGCAGTTATAGTCTTTCTAGTTTGTCTAGCTTTTTCTAACCCCCAAAAAAAAATTAATATTTTTTTCTCCTTCTTCTACCCATTTTATCCTTGACCTTATTTGAGCTCCTTTACTTTTTATTTCATAAAGTTTTCTTAGTTTACATTCATTATAAATTAATTCTTCTTGAAAATGTTTAATAACATCATCTTTACAATTTCTGTTTATACTTTCATTCAATTTTTTAATCTTATTTTCCAATATGTGTATTTCACTTATATTTTGATTTGCTTTTCTTTTACAGTATGCAACAGTATGTTCTCGAACTTCAATTTTGAACAGATCCCATTGAAGTCCTATATTATCAGTAAGTTTTGTTTTATTTTTATATTTCATAATAAAACCTTTTATTATATTTTTATATTCTATATTATCCAAGATACTATTATTAATTTTAAAATATCCTTTCCCTTTTGATTGTGATCTCCCTTTTACCTTTAGCGATATAGCTTGGTGATCTGTATGCGAAATAAGTGCAGGTCTTATATCTGCTGAATATATATGTGACCTTATTTCTGAACAAACAAGAAAGTAATCTATGCGTGAAGCTTCATTTATCTTATTTTTCCGTCTCCATGTAAATTGTATATTGGTACTATGTATATCTCTCCAAATGTCTATCAACTTATGTGTTTTGATTAACCCTTTTAAACTGTTGACTGGTTTTTGTTTTTTTTTATTTCTGCTATTTTTTTTGCTGTCAATATTAGATAGTGTATCATTCATATCTCCCCCAACTATGACCATCCCTAAACTGTTTTTCTGTATCATGTCATTTACTTTTTTGAAAAGGCATTTCTATTTTTGGGAAGATTTGGTGCATAAATATTAACTAAAGTATATATACTTTCTGAAATTTCTATATTGATCAAAATTATTCGCCCCTCCTCATCCTGAAATTTATCAATTAATTGATAATCTGTGTGATTGCTAATATAAATTGATACTCCTCTTGATTGTGAATTTCCATAACTGTGATATATATCACCTTTGAATTCATTTTTAAATTGTTTCTCTAAAGTAGAAGTGAAATGACTTTCTTGTACAAATAAAATATTACAGTGTTGATACTTCATCCACATATGAAGCCTTTGTCTTTTATCTTTTGAACCTAGACCTTGACAATTTAATGAACATATATGTATGCTTTCACTCATTGTTTGTCATAAATATCAAATTAAAAATGTAAAAGTTCTCTCATACATAATATAAACAGCATTTGTGTTTACAGCATGCACATACAGTTTGTATTAATATTAATATACACATTGTACATAACTTTGTCAATATTTTTACAATATTGTTGTAAGTAATCATTTTAACATGTTTAATATGAAAACTACACATTGTTTTGATATTATTTCATTTTCTATTTTCAGACCGCACTTGGCCTTGACTTCCGTTTAATATTCTATGAAGTTGCATTACATAATTATTGAAGAATAATTAAACAATTTAATTTAGTTTACGCATTTTACCAAATTCTTGTCATTGACCTTCGAGTATATAAACACACGTAAGTACTCCATTGAATTATCATTGTAAAATATTAATTTAGGATGGGGGAAAAATTGGTAGAAAAATGTGACAAATAGTGCCAGGCGAATACTTAAAATATTAGAAATACGTCCAACTCTTATAGTACACTGTAAGGATTTATTTGCTCTCTAGAATTTATTTTATTAAGAATATACATGCAATCGAAACATATTTTATTTGTTGTCATAGAAATATAACACTTCAATTTTGAATTACGTATTTGACAAAGTATTTTACATTGTATGCCGTAGAGTGTTAAATAGGAATGTTATTATTTCCTTGAGCACAACACGTCTTTTTGGAATACCCCCAATGTTGACATATGCATTGCTTTAAACGGGGAAGTTTATACTACTCACCCATGCCATCTGCATCATCGTATTTACATATATCCGTTAGTACGTGTTCACATTACACGGGCTTAAATAACAGGGGATGTGCTCCTCAAACAAAAATAGTTATTAGAAAAAGCGCATGAACTGCAAAAGGAGCGAGAGTCGACCAAGTAAGCATTACCTGCCTTGAAAATCCACACCAGTTAAAATAGAGGCGAAGGATACCAAAGGGACATTCAAACTCATAAGTCGAAAATAAACTGACAACGCAATGGCTAAAAAAGAAAAAGACAAACAGAAAAACAACAGTACACAAAACATAACATAGATAACCAAAGACTGAGCAACACGAACCCCACCAAAAACTGGGGGTGATCTCAGATGCTCCTGAAGGGTAAACAGATCATGCTCCACATGTGGCACCCGTCGTGTTGCTCATGTTAGTACAAACCCGGTAATAAGTCTAATTCAGAAGGTCACATTCGGGGAAAAAGGGATGGGATTGTAGTTACGACAATTGGAATATATCTGTTGTCATCTGTGAAACGGATATTCCATAACGGTCAACCAACTCGTGATGACGTCCGTAAAATTTACGAAGTGATCATTTTAATTCACCACTTGAAACTCTTGGTTTAATAGCTTCCTTGTGAGCAGCAACCCTCTGTCAAGGAAATTATGATAGGAAATACAAGTCCTGGAACATCGTATCGACTGCGAGATATAAACTCCGTATGCAGGCGCTGCTGGAATGTTGCTACATAGAAATGGAAAGTTCACAATTGGGAAGCTGAAATTATCTCTTTTGTCGTAAAGTTTTGTTTTCAACCGAACATCATTGTCAATTTCTAGATGTAAGTCAAGATATGAGACCGACTTAACTGTAAACAATTAAGTTCGATGGGATAGATGCGTTCAACATAGTCACCAAATTTTGAATTATTTAGTGAGAGAACATCATCTATATAGCGGAAAGGGAAGTTAAAGGATACTGCTAACTTCTTTTCTTTCTTCCTAAGAAGTTCCCGTATGAAGTCAGCCTCATATGAACAAAGGAACAAGTCGACAAGAAGAGAAGCACAGTTGGTTCCCATGGGAATTTGTTTTGTTTGTTGTATGTTGTCAATGAAGAAATCAAGCATCTTGATAATGTCAGTTTCAGAAAATGTCACCATCGGGAAAAGGTCACAATTGAAAAAGAAAAAGTTAACAGAGAATTATTGAATTGAAATTTTTAATCGAATACAGAACCGTATAATTTGATACAAACTTTTCCCACAAAGAGCCGTTATATAAATTACTAAGACACGAAAGGACTAAGATTCTACATCTGGAAATGTGAGTTTAATTTCCTTTTTTGTTTATCTTTATATTTTACAAGAATATTGTTGATTGTATACGTCAACAAGATATGATCTAAGACTATATTTATTATCGAAAATACATCGACAACAATCTAAATAAAATATTATTTGATTCTTTAGTATATTTTTTCTTAGAAAACTATGTTTTTCATATAAAATAACACATAGATAAGACAAGTAATCACATGCAGTCACATTTTTATGGCTTTACAGAAAAAAATACGCATATTCATATAATTATACTCATATATATCATGAGAAAAAATAAAAAGCCATTTCTTGTGAATTATTTATAAAAACAACATTGCTGTGCAATATTCAAACCATTATCACCGTCTCATTCTTATTTGAGACCATAATATCAACTAAATCTATTGTTTTTCATCAATATTGAATGAAAAGTGTTAATGTATAATTCGTCAAAAGAAAAACGATTCTATCGTTTGATGAAATACTTGTGTCGCCTGATCACTTGTACGTTCATCTCAATACAACAAGTACAGAGTACGTCGGATGCACATCATAGACGACTGAACAAAAGCATAAATAGTAAAATAAAAAATGCAGATTTTGAGTCATACTCATACAAAATCCAAAACAAAATCTTGTGTTTATTCATTTCATATTACTTTGCCTTAAATCGGACACGTTAAATATAAATCTAACAGTATATATATGAACAAATATATTATAAGTCCATTATGCAGTTTGTGCAATACAGTTTACCTCAAATTTTTTCATCTGATGAAAAATCTTTCAAAAATATTTATTCACAATTGTCATGAAATAGAATTACATCACTTTCTATGCTGAACGATTTCAAACTTTGAGTTAATACACAATGATTGATTTATTTTTCTTTGCTTGACGTTAAATGTGTAAAATATGTTTATAAAATAAAAAAATGGTAATTGACTGTGTAGTCTTAGCAATATGTACAATGTCATGAACGTACGTTCATATTATCAACTCCAACTGGGTACATCGATACAATATAAATCTTGAATATATTTTCAGCGGTGCAAGAAAAACCACTGTGTCCTTTTGATTATCAGGTCTTTCGTATTTGAAATAGGCCGAGAAATTATCGAAAATAGCCTATTCTTTTGTCTATCCATAATATAGAATGTCTATAACATTATTCTATTTCTTCGCCTATACATACACAAATGAGGATGAATCTGATTTTTATAAAAGAAAACACATTTTGATGATGTTGTTATTGGTGATTGTATGTATGTAAATATGTAAATCCAATGAGATGCAAGTAGTTTTAATCTGTATAACAAAAGTATAATGCATTAGTGTTCGTTTCTCTATATGAACGGAAAGGAAATTTTTTATAAATGTGTGCGTCCGTAACGCTTCATCAGGAAAGCTCAAGCCCAAAATTTTCAAAGTTATAATATGATTTTACTTATGCATTTCGTCCGTACAGGTGGAATTTACTTTTAGTAAGACACGATAAAATTTTAAGGATAAAAAAAAATCAGAAAAATTCGACCAAAACAATAACAATTGATATACAGTATCACATTATATATCACGAATATTCCAGGAGTAGAAGGCCAAAACCTAACCCTAACCCTTATATTTGTTCCGTCAACGAGTATCCTACAAGGTTAAGAGCCGATCCAGATAATATAAACATGACAGTAATAGACAATGTTAACCGTAACACTGTGACATTCTGAATAGATCATGTTAACTTATGATGATTTATATGCAAAACTTCTTATTACAGTGCAAGTATTTGTATTCATGTTTTAAGCATTTCCATTTTTTGCCCCCGTTAAAGCCCACAATGAAACGCACTTACCAGGCAATTGTGGGTACCTAGAATTTAGAGTGTCCACTAGCTACAAATAGTGCATTCGTATTTTACTGAAATTTGGAAAAAACCTGTAAGGGTTGTCTATTCAAAGTCGATCACTTTAAAGAAAAATAAAACATAACTTAGAGGGTGATAGTGCAAACTGTGTGTTACGACGAAAAAAGGTCAACCGAGACGAAACCGACGTGTAATAATCTTCTCTATCTTCCTGTCAATGTTATTCTTATCTAATTCATTAACTTAAATCGTCTGTTACTATTGTCCGATATATTTAAAATTATTTTCTTTAAATTATTGATTTAAATTCAATTATTGTCAATTAAACTTTAGATTTTTTATTAAACTGCACGAGAGAGTGACCTTAAATAAACAGCCCCCGCTGAGTAGAATGTCGCCCTCGTATTAACCAATCAAAAATTTACATTGTAACAAATAAGATTATTATATCATTCCAAAAAAAGTTTACTAGTAATAAAAATTTAACCCTTTAAACTTTACTTGTTTAATGGCTAGAACTTTGTTAAGCGGGAGCCCATGACACATATATTTATCTGTTCCGCATTTAACGTCACTGAAAAGTCTTATGCAACGTCACAGTACCCAAATTGCACCTATTTAGCAAAAATAGCAGCGGAAATCTTACAAGTTTTCTGAGAGACTTAACCTTTTGTGTTTTTATGATTTGACATTATGCACGTCTTTCAACATAGCTTAATATTATATTTAAGTATATACAAAACGTTCATATTATAAATCATCATCAGAAGTATTCACTAGAAAAAAAATATACGGAACCGTCGCCATGCGACGTCCACAAAAAGTCAATTTTTGAAAATAAGCAATTTAAATGTTTCAGGCATCCATTTCTAAAAAAATGAATAGTAATCATGGACTATTGTCAAATTGTTCTAAATATTTGAAGAAATAAAACAAAACATCAGTTATTCGATTTTTACGAAATGTGATATTAAGCCTGGATGCAATTTGGGTACTCCTCACTACAGAGTCGGTTCAAACTCATTTTTCTTTGATTCAACATGATTTTCTTTACAAATCCAAAATGTTAAAATTGTAAAAGGAAATAAGCGAACGGAATATAGAATGATATAAACATAGTTTAACTTTATATCTTATAAGTATAGACCATGGCTGACATCTTTATACACAGTGACTGTTTCTATTTAATGAAACGCTCTAATACATTAACGAGAAATAGAATGAAGATGCTAGGGACACAATTGTTCTAGGGCAGATTAATTGTATCGTTGACATCTTGTTTTAGTGAAAGACTTTACCGTAAATCTTAAATGAAACAAACAAGATAGTTGAAATATCAT